CGTTTATGGAAATTCGAACAATTTAAGTGAAGACACAGTACAAATTATGAGGACTTTCTGTATAAGATACTTTGATTTCCAATATTTCTATTTATATGTATGATCTTACTAACGCCACTTCTGCAGGTGAGAAGTCAATATCAACTCAAGTTAGCTCAAGTCTTAGCTCAAGTTTCTAAAATTCCACGAGATTACACTCAAATGGTTTTCGTCATATCTTTGCCACAGATCTCAGGTGACAAAGGTGAATGGTAGGTGCTCTGTCTGAGTTGCTTCAAAGAGAATTAGGGGTCCCTCAGGGAACTTGTCTAGGACCAATACTTTTCATATTGTATACGCATCACCTCGATAGCATTCTAAAATTCTCCACTTTATATTCCTAGGCTGATGATTGTCAACTAGTTCTTTCCTACACCCCTTTTGATTTTCATGAAGCAGTCAATCTCATCAACGCTGACTTGCTAAGGGTAAAGCAATGGTCTGACGATCATGGTCTAAAACTGAATTCAGAAAAGTATACTATGCTTCATTTCAGGTCTTCTAGTTTGCAACCTAAAAATAGTCTTGTTGGAAAGGTAGAGCTGGACGGTCAAATTCTTTTGGTGTCTGATTCTGTTAAGGTGTTAGGCATCAAAATTAAATCCCAATTGAGTTTTCGCTCACATGTTAGTTACACGTGTCAGAGAGTTTCAAATAGGTTATAGTTATTTGTGCAACTAGTGAGAAAAGTGAGCAATTGACTCACTCGAGAGAAATCCTTACTCACAATGGTTTCTCGAGTGAAGCAATTGTACTTTGAACTCGAGTTGCACATTATACTTTTCCTACAGTTACCATAAAACAAATAAATTGGTGAAGAAACATCACCTATTTTTACACAGAAGTGAACTTTTAATATAACATTTAATGTGAAGTGACAAATACAACAGTACAACAGCTGACCAGCTGATTTACAGCCAGTGCTGCCAACGTACTTCGCGCGCATACGACGTTGCCTGCATGTTACGCGCTCACTATTTCGTGCATTCACGTTGCAAATCTGGAGTGAGACAAAGTAATTAGAGTGAGACAATGTTAACATTGTCTCACTGATGAGCGAATTGGCCACTTTGCTTTCTCAAATCAGTGAGAGAACATGTACATTGTTAGGTAACTGTAGGAAAATAATTTTACACCGATTGAGAGGGATACTTTCTGAAACAGCTAAGCTACAATTGATAAAATCATCAGTCTTCCCTATAATTCACTGTGCACTTCCATCTTTTGGTGAATGTCTTACTCTTGATTGTAGAGTTCTTCTTACGAGGTTGTAAAACCGAGCCCTAAGGGTTGTCTTCAATCTGAGGAAGTTTGATCATATATCTGCCTATCGCAAACAGGCTAAGGCGCTCTCTTTGGAAAAACAATGTTTTCTACAAAGTGTTTTGATTGTTCATAAGACACTGTCTTCTAATTTGCCTCCCTATTTGAAAAGGAAACTTGTGCCTCGAACATCAGTTAGGAAACGCTGTACTAGGCAGGACCAGGACGGCTTGCTTGAAATGCCGAGAGTGCGGCGTGAGACAGGTAAAAAGGGGTTCTCATACTTTGGACCCCAGGCATACAATACCCTTCCAAGAAATATGAAAAGTCTGTCATGCAATTCTTTTAAGGTCAGCAATGTATTGTTTGTAACTTGAGTTGCCTTGATAACCAGTTTTGGCTTTAAATAAAGGCATTTTATTATTATTTAACTCATAGCTCAATGTTTATTTAATGTTTGGTAAAATATCAAATAAATTGGTATAACGTTGTATTAATAACACAGTATAATGCACAGTTAGTTAGTTAGTTAGTTAGTTAACAGTATAATGCACTATTTGGGAGTGCCCGAGCGTTTCATTTGAGAATTTAGTTACATCAAAGTGTAGAGCAGAGCATCTCTAAGTTGCAGGAGCATAGAGTTAAAGTAGCCGACCACTCAGTATAGCCCCCATTTTGGTTGGGGTGTTGTAGGAATTTCCTAGGGGGACCGTTTATTACTGACTGAGGAATTCTCTTACTGTTTAAATTGACATGTATATAAATAAATGGCGATGGATTTTCAAAGGTATCACAACATGAAAAGTTGATGTCCAGTAGTAATTAGTTATAAAGTTTCAGATGAACACCAAAATGTTAATACAAATCACGCAAGATTTCAATCGGACGGGACGGGATGACATGTTTTAACGTAAACAAAGGTTAAAATTGTGTTTTTAAAATGCGATATGCGTACTTGAGAAAATCTTAACTGAACGTTTAACAGTACCCTATATATGAGTGCCCCAATAAGGAATCCATAGCTAAAATAAAAGTCAATACTTTAACGAATAGCTATGAGGAGTTTTTCCCGTTATTACTCTGCACAACAATAAAATTAAACCATAAAAGGTTTACTTGCAATTTTTTATACGAACCCTATGCCAGTTTGTTTAGTTTGCTTGGACTATTATATTAATTTATAAAAAATATTATTATTTAAAATATGTTATTATTTTACGGGGGTTATTTTTGGTTGTAGGTAAATGTATTAGGTATCATTTTAAAGGTAATTTCAGGAGGGACATTAAATGTATTAGCGACTTTTCACCAATATTTTGGCTGGAAAGTCAGAATTTCAATAATAAGAAAAAACTACTGGATTTGGCCGCCATTTTGAAAAAAATGGTGGTGTATTTTTGGAGACTTTTGATATGTTATTCACAATACCTTTCACTATCGAACAACAATAGTTTCATCTGTGTTCTAATTATTTCTAGGTTTTGCTATTTCTTTTCTTATTTTAAGGCGCATATAAAATAACAATTAAGGTAAGTGAGGGTCAATGACATGGTAAAATAATACCCTGATAACTCCGCTCAATTGTGTTGATGCCTCTGCGAACACCACCTAGTAATTGAGTAGGTTTTTATCTGGAGCCTGGAGTGGAACGAACTGCTCACACTATAATCATAGATTAAGTAATTACTTCATCTATGCTATAATTCTGCGTATGTTCTGGTTCCTCAGATAGCTTCGTCACGTCATAATTTCGATTATTGATCCCGCAATCATTGGCTGAAGCGTCCGGGCCCTTTCTTAGAAATTTGGATCACTTATTAACTCTAGAACATTGGTTTAAGGCTTTCTTATATAATATTGTAGTATGTATGAGACTATTAAAGTAGACAGGTGTCCCACGAATGAATGAATGAATGAATGAATGAATTCTTTATTATTTCAATACAGAACATCAGTTCAATGGTACAAAAAACGTTTTATGAAATATGAATCCCCAAATGGGGACGAAGAGGCTTAAAACTTTTAATTTTGTATTACCTGCAGATTTAAGCAAAAATTTCAGCTCCCTAACCCTCGTTGAAACAAACTCTTTGTCTGTGGTATCCGGAGAGGTTCCTCTTCAATTGATCGTTTTAGTTCCTCATCATTATTGAATCTATGAGTATAAACTTGTTCCTTCGAGTAACCCCATAAAATGTTCACACACAGTTAAATCTGCAACGTAGTAAACAAATCATATAGTAACTCAAGAAAGATTTATATAGGAAGCAAATTGGTAAAATAGTTAATATGCCACCATTTCCTTTCTACAAGGGTTAGATAGCTGAATGTTTCCAGAATATTTTTAAAACCTACTTTTTAATTGGTGTAAGGTTTCAAAACTTTCCCTGCATAAATAGGCTAGTATTATAAAATCAAACTTTTAAACCTCTTTATGGGACGCCCTGTATATTAACCAATATATTTCTTATAAATTACACAGTCCCAAATAGACAGAGAATAAACTAGGGGTGTGCTCCAAAGTTATACATGAGAATGATCGAAGACGATTTCATGCATATAAATTGTTTGTATTAAAAGTAACAGTATTTTTACCAAAGGACGAGTTGTCTAAACAGTTTTAATTTAATTTAAGTCCTACTTTAAGTTCATACAGCTAAAAAAAAATACCGCAGGGTCCTAATGCAATGTATTACACAATTATTTTGAGTAACGCCATTAAATAGTTTATTAATAATTAATTACCATTGAGCAACTTTTGGGTCCAGGAACTAAACTATTATTTATTCCGCAAAAAATATTTTTTACTTGGTTTAATTGATTATGTTACTGAACGGGAACGGTCAAAATTTCCTGGTAGTAAAATTAGTCCCCACCAAAGTGTCTCCATCCATGCTTATGAAATTGTCTGCTTTTAATTTACTGCAATTTCAAAAAACACTCACGAATCACTAAAGTAGATTACCATTTTCTATGAAGCCAAAATGTTATTACAGCATCGAAATATCTTATATTTTAATGAATGAGTACTATTTAGTTAGATATCAAGAAGCAAGAATCTATTTTGGTTGGGAACCGGAAAATGCGGTACCAACTCATCACTACTAACCAGAAACATTTTCCATATGTTAAGGAAGAAAACAAAATAGTTTTCTTTATTCCCATATAGCACACTAATAACATAGCTAGGTTTGGTTGTGGATAAGAAAATTAAACCACGAATTTTTCTCGATTTGAAGTAATAAATATAAGGAAACTAATTCACAAATCTTTGTTGATTTGACGAGTTTTATGGCTTGAACTTAAAGTCTATAGCCAGATTGCATATATGTACAACTAGACACGTGTTTTAGTGAATAATATATGAGGGTAAATTTTTAAACAAAAAGGCAATGTCAGAATGGGTTTTCTCCAAGAGATTGCTAGATACACTAGACACTATAACTAAGAAATAGGTATAAAAATCGTTAAAACTTTTGTGTTTACTATTTAAAATTTACCTTCATTTTTGTGACTGTTGATCAGGTTGGATACAAAAATAATTTAATCCATTTATCAATTTATAAATACACTGTATACACAATTAAACATTAAAGCGTAATCGTCCACTGTATACACCCATTGTCTGAATTTCATCCTCATCTGACTAGAATGGAACCTGTCCCAGTTTGAAATAGAGGAATATAAAAATAAACAAATTAACCAGACGTAATAAATTTTAATTCATAAATAAATGGAAGAACAGTTGGGCCGTATGGTACAAAGGGTAGGAGCTGCAGAGAGAGATGTCTAGTAGACGATGGAGTAGCCGTGCTGTTCTACAGGCTCGACGGAGTGGTAGACAGCGGGGGCGGCATGGTAGGCGTAGGGGGCGGGCACGACGTACCTGGCGAAGGGGGCGTAGGGGTTGTAGTAGCCGGGGGCGGCGAGGACGACGGCCACGAGGGCGGCGAACAGGACGATCTGTAACAGAGGAATGAGAGATGAGAGGTGCCTTCTGGAGAGATTAGAAAGTAAACTATTTGAAGGTATCAAGATATTTTGAAGGGTGATAATTGTAGATATCAAGTCAACTGATATCTGCAAAGGAAATAACAATGTGATTTGTAAAAGACAGTATTTAACTGACCTCTACAATAGAGATTACAGGGTGCATTAACGATAGAGGGTTTTTTTTTTGTTTCCAAAAGAAGTAATGTATTTATTGTGTAAGAATACTGAATTAATTGCAGTCGGATGGGATAGCTACAAGTAGGATAACGTTTTGAGGGATAAATTAGGGGGCGAACAAAAACACTAGGGGATTTAATGAGAAGCTTTCTTTAATTCGCCAGAGTTACTGAATATAGAGCCAATTTTACATAGAACATGAAGTTTTTAAACTTTGCTCAACTTTTCTATTCAAACTACGCAGAGAACCTAATCATTTAGTGTATTGATCGTTTATTTACGACCCTTCTGTAGAAATTCAGCATGCATTTTATTCTACTATTCAAACCGTAATTCAGTTAACAATTTACATTATATATATTCAGGATTACAATTTTACAACAATGGTTACATATTAAGACGGATACACCTTTCATATTCAGTTGATCACTTACATTAAAAATACTCCATAATAAAAAAAAACATTTTCACCGAAATATTTACTGAACATTAATACAAACATTAATTAATTTTGGGGAACACCAAGTACAGAGTTGGCGAAATATAATGCACAGGCGAGACATGGCTTTTCCAACATATTAATAAACTGCATTTTACAAAACTCTGATTAAAACTATAAATTATTTTACATACTCATACAAAAAATGTTTTTTTCTGAAAAATAATCTTGGTATCCGTCTGCAGCCTCGGAGCCAAGACTTGGACGTAAGTTAGTGAGGTAAGATACACGCGGCGGACCACGTGGGGTGGAGGGGTGTGCAGGAGGGTGTTGTAAGGAGGAACCCCACGCAGGACTTGCAACGCTCAGCCCGGGAGGCGCACGTTTTTTATTCCGGAAAACGTGCTTTTAAAAGAAATAGTTACATAAGACTAGGCTTCGTGATGCGTATAAGTAGGAGAATTACTAAGGTGCTCTTGGGAGAAGTTAGTTGCCTTTTGTATGGGGTGTAGACTGTAGAGTAAGGGGTGTTTTTGTAGACTACTAAAGATTTGTAATCATTTGCATATTTGATTCAAAATCCTGATTTTGATAATGCTGGATTATTTATTCAAAATAAAGAATCATTGTCTTACATACATCATCAATTAAAGATGAAACCTCTGTGGATAAATATTTTGCTTAACATACCAAATCAATTTGATCAAGTAGAGCTTTCATTAATATAAATAATATACTAAGCTAGTCTTTTATTTAATTTAAAATGCATACAAAAGCCAATGGAATTAAATACAACCCAAACATTTATTTGAAACCTTTTCTCCAAACCATGTTTTATAAAGGCTTCGAGTGACGCGTATTGTCTTATGTTATCAACGTAGAAATTGAATCAATAAATGAAGAATTAATAATTTGTCCACTGATTTACATGACAATGCAAATATTTAAAAAAAATAAATTTAGAATAATAAAACTAATTTTTGAAAATGTAATTGGAATTTAAATTTTTAATGACACTAGATAGTGGAAAAATACACCCTGAGCTATATTTGGAAACACAAAATAATTATAGATATAAAACATGAAATCGAGGATAATTTTATTTATGAAGAACTATTATACTTTTGTTGGATTCTGGATTCAATCTTCTAGTAGATAATGGGAGAATAACATGGCGGTATGATTAGCAATGTTTAAATAGCAAATGTTTAAATAGTACAATAAAGAAATGCACGAAAATGATTGAAGTCGCCACCCGGTTGTAGCAACTCTACAATTCAACGTAACCTTGAACCTATATCTGTATCCGTATGGGAAGTTGTCCACGCCCAAAGTGACCTTCACAATGTTATACAAGTATACACAATGCAAGTCCAGTTAACATTACCCAAATAGACCACCATTGTACTGCATAAACCTACGTAATACTTGTGGGGTCCGACCGCTGCAAATAGCATTAATTGTGTCTTGGCACCCCTGTCACCAGAGGTGTAACAGTAAAACCCTCCCCTGGGGGGAGGGGTTATTTTCCATGTAACATTACATTCTCCGTAGACCTATTATAGTGTGCCAAACACAAAATGTTTTTACAAGTAAATTAGTACAATCATTAAATGCAAATGAAAACTTTTCTTCATTTTATTTCGATGCGACTTGAAAATTTTGAAAACACTCGTGAAATTAAATATATGAATATAACCGAATTAACTAAGCGGAAATAAATTTGTTGGAATAATCAAATTGAAAATACAAAAACATAGTCTAAAATCAAACAGTTAGATGAAAGTAATTGCATAAAACAAAATAATTTAAACTAAATCACTTCACTGATTAGTTATTAGAATCGTACTTAATTAAAAAAAAATGGGTTGGAATGTAAAAAAGACTAATTTTTTATAGCTATTGTATATATTTTATTGAGCTAAAGACCTCTCAAAAGTTACCATGAAGCTTAAAAATAATAATAAACTTGACGATGTTTTACTAATAATTAAACTAATTCAGAATTGTACAAAAAGTAGGCCTATTTACGCCTAATGCCTGGTTCATATTTTTACAGTATTTAATTTTGTTAACGTTTAGGAATTCATTAGATGAGCAAAATAAGGTTATTATTTTGTACATGTTGTACAATTATAGTTTGTTTTTATCAATCATGCAAAGAAAAGACAACATTATATAAATTATTTTTTTATAATTGTTTCTCATATGAATTGATTGCAAAATAAAAAATGATAGTCAAGAGTAATGTATAAAAAAATATTAAAATATTACTTACAAGTCTGAGCATGTTGTCTGGTGTGTTGTGCCTCGAAGGATCGACTGCGCAATAAGTTGTAGATCAGTGCACAGGCTTATATACCGCGCCTGCGCTCACGACCTCGTGGCAAACCCTGTGTTGTTCCGGCCGCGCGCACACTGGGGGAGAGGGTTGAATAAAATAATATGCTCTTAAAACTGTTTTAAAAACTCAACCGGTAATATATTTGCTATTTTTTTTGGGGGGGGGGGTTCTGTAAAAAATAGGGCTGTGCGAATTGATCATGTTTGTGGTTTTATTCATACAGAGAAGAAACACTATAGATAGAGAAAAGGATTAAATGACAGGATACAAGATAGCACGAACACTATTTCTTTTGTACTTGGTTTGAAAAATAAGTTTAAAAAAGAAAACAAAACAAACAGTAATAACTTGAGTAAGGTCTGTGAAGAAGGAAACTATGTTTGTGTGAATATGCTCTGTGTTTATAAAAATAAAAGTACATTAAATATACCATGTAAAAATAAGAGGAAATTGACCTTCAAAGAAAAATTTTGCAAAAATTGGCACTAAGTTAGTTTAGGAGTTTATTCTGTTTAGGATTGAGGTATACAACTATTATTAAAAACTAAACGACAGTACTGTATGCTGAAAAATAAACCAATTTTATAAAACGTAAAAGATATGGTATGGCTAATACCAAACATAATTTTTCAATGGAGGCTTATTAAACTGAGATTGCTGTAGAGAAATTTTAACAAAAAAAGCTAGTAAAACCAAGCTTTTAAATACAATGGTAATTTTAGACTCAGGTTTTACATAATATAAATTTTGTAACCAAAATGTGTACAATTTATCTTTGAACTGTGGCAATATCATAATAAACAACGTTTTACTGAGGTGCGATCAATATTTATTGAAAATACTGTAATTGTAAAAAAATATTGAAATGAACCCTGGAGAATATAAGTTAATAAATGACAATATTAACACCACTAATTAAAATATCGTAAAGTTATTTTTTTCAATCTCTAACGAACCGGGATTGCCGAATTCAAACATCACCGTTTTTATTTCCTCAAACATACCTCAACAGTGACAGTTGTTATCAAGATAAGCCAGGGCTATTTACTGCTGCAGCAGAAGGGGAGGGGGATGGTTGTGTTATCAGTTATCCAACCCAGGGTGATAATAGCTTGCCATTGTCCTGCTGATGTCCTGTGTATTTGTGTCCTGTATCCTGCAGCGTGGCCTAGACCATCGATGCCTAGACAACAGCTCTGTTTACCTAACGTAATTCTGCGTAACTTGTGTAACCCGGACGATAAGGGGTGACAATCAGGTCATGTAATGAGGTCATACAAGGTCATACATTAGTAGATAAAAAGGATTTTTTATGTCTAAATTGGTTTATGTAAGAGTTTTGAGTTAGTTTGGAGGAAAATGTAAATCATTGGTAAATCTAGTGGTATCAAAAACAAAAATCTTCATCAGGGTATTAATTTGTTGATAGTAATTTAAATTACATACGAAAAGTAGCATAACCAAGATTGTGTGAATTGAAGGTTATTTTTACACATAATTCCTTTTAACTACCAAACAAGGAAAATTTAATCTTTATCTGATCAAGTTGAATTATCCCTGGCCATAACACCAAATTAGCCACAATTGTGAATATCAGCCTAATGATGAAGTTTACCGAGAAGCCAGACAATTTTCTACACCATGTTGGATTTAAATCCACAATATTAACTGTGATAATTCTGCTGGCAAGCTTTAATTGAACTTAAACTTGCTTTAAAAATGGGGTTGGCTAAAAAAATGTACTCGTGAGAGTGACTTTGATGTGATAATAACTTAACTGAATAAAAGAGAAATCTGTACTGTACTTTATAACATATTAGCATAGTTATTTCAAAATAAAAATATATATTTTTATCTCACAAGAGTTAGTTGTTTCTTTATTCGTAACTCTAGCCCGGACAGCCTGTATTGTAATTCCATTTTACAACCACTATCGCAATCACTACAATGACTAATATTTTTTTTTGTTTTATTAACAAAATGATGAGTTTCTTTAAATTAAATTAGCTTATTATTGAGTTTATGATATCTAATCTAAATTATTGATGTTAATAGTTGATTTTATTTAAAGAGTTTTATTTAGAAATTTGGTTATTTTATTTGATGCCATTTAAAAATATTAAATGTTTCTGTAATACAATAAAAGTACGATATATTTAACATAATTTTATGCTGAACAAAACTATATAATTTCCATTTTTTAGGGATTATAGTTTACTTTAAATAATAATTTTGAAAATGATACATAGAAACCAATAAAACCCAATTTTAGGGTGTATGACAACTTTTTTACAATATGAAATTTTTTAAATTTTGGTTTTAGCTTAAGTATAAAAGCCTGTTACAAAGTAAAAATGAGTTATAATACAAGTTTTAGCAATTTAAGTAGTCGATGTCCTTTAAAAAAAGTTAGTTTCTTAAAAGTAAATTGGTTTATCATTGAGTTCATAACATCTCAAATTATTGATGTTAATAGTTGGTTTCATTTAGAGGTTTAATGTCTTAAAAGAAGTTATTAGTTTTGCATTCAAATTAGGTAGGTAAGAAAGTAAACGTTATTTGTAATACTTTTAGTAAATTTATTTCGCATCAAATTACTCATTTCAGGTCTAATTCTTAGTATTAAGAGATCAGTTAACATTACTATCCCTGCATTTATATTTACTCTTTTTAAAATTACAACCTATCCAGAAACAATTGTGATAATAATGTGATGTAATCGCCCCAATGTTAAGCACATCAAGTGGTGATGTAATAATCAATGCTTAATATATCCCGTTGACATTTTCCCACAGATTGCGTCAGTCGTGTTTGGATGTATAAAGACTTATGTTTAGTTTTGTTACAATTGCAATGGGTTTTGACCTACTTTTTATATAATTGTATTAAAATAATAAATTTTTAATCGGACGATAACGTTGAAAAAATATACTGTAGAGTAACAATTTTAATATATACGAATACTAGTAGAGTGCCCGTCCTTGTACGGAGTTGGCGTATAAGTATAAAATGCTTATTGCAGTTATACTCGTGCTTTGCGTTTGCATTGAGAGAGTACACAGTTTAGTTATTTTAACTTACGGTATGCCATAGTATAGCACATATACCATAGCCGTCGTAATTAATGTTCTTCCACTGCGCCTAAACAGTAGAAAAAAGTAAAGTTCTCATAGCTTGTCACAGATTTTTGTTGCTGCTTGGTTATAATTAGCTGTTGTCATAAATGCAAATAAAATAATATTGCTGCACCCTTTTGACAAACCTTATAAAATGTTAATGCTATTGAGTATCATCATAGACAAATAGAACAAATAGATATCATAGAACTAACTTGTGTAGTTGAAACAGCTGACAAAATTCTTTAATTCCTTTCAAATATAAATACTCCTAAAGTTAACATGGGAATCTGAGCCACTGGGGCAGAGTCCGAAGGCAGTTTGAGGAAGTGAATTGGCTTGTGTTAAGTAGGTGCATAATCTACCTTTGTGTAAAAAACTTCAACCCTGTCGGCTCAGTATTTTTCGCATTTACTTGTCACAAACATCCATCCATACGTCCAAACTTTCCCACTTATGATATTGGTAAAATAATGTTGATTTGATTGTATTAATATATAAATATTAATACCAAGTTATTGAAGTCATTTTACATGATAAAAGAAAAATCTATAAGAATAGAAATAGCAAATGTATCTTTATTTTTAAATAATGTGAATTTAAAAAAATCATAGTTTAGCGAAAAAAGAATAACTTATATAGCTCGTATTTATAAATGTAAAAATCAGAAAATTGTAACTAAACATATGTATGAATATAGCATATAATTATCTTGTAGAAGAATTCTATGGAATATTTCATGTGCAATACTATAACTGAATTGTTCAAACGTAATTATTTAAATCAGGATATAAGAAATGTCATGTCAATCGTATACGTAGATATCATTAAATTACTTTCAAAATCTCGTAATATCAAATACTGCTAAATATCCACAAGCTTCATATTCGTCCAGCTTCTTCTTCCAGCATCACTCTCCGTAGAAATATAAACACAACAAATCTCAGATTGAGACTATTAACCCAAACTAATCAAGCAGGTTCATTTATGCAACAAAACCGCGACATGGGTTTTCAATAACTGTATAAATCGAGATAGCCATCAAACCGTGCCTTGAATATTAATAGGCTCTTGGTTACTATCAGCATCAGGCTTTAGTGATGCTGCAGTAGGCATCAGCATATAGTTAAGAATCAGCAGACTCAAATACGTGGTTTATAGAGCTCTTGAAAAATATGTTATTTATAGCGCTCGTGTTGAATATCAGAATCGATTATATCTTTAGGAAAACGTTATCATACTTTTATGATTCCTTGAAAAGAATGATTTACTTTGGAAAATGGTTTCTAGCGATTAATTTACTAAATAATTATTTAAGCTGAGCAGTTGACTGTCTTTAGTAGTAATGGTCAAAACCAGACAATTCAAATTTCAAAACCAAATGAAAAAAAAAACAATTTAAAATTTCGAATCTTGAAACCTTAACGCAAAACTTTATACTTGTCTAGGTTACAAAAAATATATAATTATCTTGCAATCATGCATATATAAATTCAAATATATTACTGCGCAATCAAGACTCCTTACCCTTACTTGGGCTTAAAAGTATGACTAATCCATTTCTTTAATAACAAACACATCATTGCTTTATAAACAACACACACTGATACAAATTAAATTCCAGACATTGCCATTTATCATAGAAAAGAGACAAATACTTGAATAAATAAGCAGATCGAATCTCAAAACCGAAACTTTTACAAATCTTTGGGGATTTTGAGATTTGAGATTTGGTTTTAACACATCACCATAAAAATAGTTGGTAGCACTGGACCCAGCTGTCCCTCATCTTTGAACCTTCAATGGTCCTGGCTAAGCAGCTGGTTATCTTAGTCAGTAATAATCTCCATTTTACACTCACCCTGCATTCGGCTTATAACACGTACACAAAGTACTAGTAACTATGTGATGTATTACTAGGAACTAATATTTTTTAAC